TCAGTGGTGTTGGTAGAAACCGGAGATGCAGTAAGATGTCAAACTTTACACGCTTGTTCTCAAACAAAAGGTTTTGAAACACTACCACGGGCACTCTGAAACCAGTTCCTTGCTAATGCACCAATCAGAATGACCCACACATCAGCTGCCGTGAATAAATGAATCACATGCTATTCCTGTATGTAACTGTAAACACATTTTCAAAAACAACACATCGTCTCATCATAATGAGTCCTTATGTGTCACATATACATTATGGCACAGTGAAATTCGTTTCTTCACATACCCCAGCATATCAGGAAGTTGGGGTCAGAGTGCAGGGTCAGCCATGATACAGCGTCCCAGAGCAGAGAGGGTTAAGGGACTTGCTCAAGGGCCCAACAGTGGCTGGGGCTTGAACCCACAACCCACTTCCAAGCATTAACCCAGATCCGTAACTGTCAAGTCGTCACTGCCCCCGCAATGCCGCATCATACACATCACTACAAATACACCTGATTCTAAAAGTGCATGTGTGTCTTCTTTGGGAAAACTTACACAGAAAGTGAGTCATTAATTCATGTAATGTCATTTAGTGGATAATTTTAATTTAGTAATTTGTTTGCTGGGATGGTGCGTTGATTTTTATTCATGTTTACCCTATATATGTAAAAAAGATATTGATACGTGTAAAAAGAAGTCATTCAGTTGTCTGACAGCATTACGCCATCATTCAGTACTTCATACAACAGCACTGCTGAATTCTGAATTCTGATTGGTCAGAAGGTGTCGATTCGTTTTCTATAGCAGCAGCTCTGACAGTACTGCAGTTAGTAAAAGTCAGAGTAAAGTGCTGAGGACGGATGAGCACGACCCCGAAGTTTGTAGTGCACTTAAAAGGATTATAGCAGCTAGCACAGAAGCTAATCCTATTAAAGCAGAACACATGGAGAACCCCTTGTTCCCTCTGCTCCCTCTTTGAATGCTGAATGTTTAACGACTCTGGAATTAATTAAGGTCAGATATTCTGACCGTGACGCTGCGAGAGACTGCTCCTCTCAGCTAATAGCATGCTAATGAGGACAACGGTGCTTTTCCATGGGGTGAGAAGTCATCAAAACCTTGCTGAGGCATGATAAACTTTGATCCTTTGTGTTTTGACAGCCTTCTGAAAGTACATTATTCATTTGTACCTTTTATACCTAATTGGATCGACTTTTGCCTTCAGGTCTTTGACCATGGATGCTACTTTTGATTTCTCTCACTGTGCTGATGTGGACTTGCAGCAGGTCAGGGTGTAAATGTCTGAGCACTGGGTGGTCAAGATGGATGTCTCTGATCTGTTCATCACTTTGACTGACAGGTAGCTGTGGTTAACTTGACTGAATTGAGCTGCTGTGAGCCTGAGAGATGTTCACTATTAGGAGACAGCAGTAGGACGAGAGCTTGCTGTTGTGCTTGTGTCTACTGGAAAAGTAGCAAATGGGTTTTGAAGTATACGTCTGGCATCCTGGGTATGTGTCTGTTTTTAACAAAACATAAATACTATGTTTTCTCAAAGTGTGAACATTTCGTTCCAATCCCACTGAAAGACATCCACCATGACATTCATAACCTCATCTACTGGTGGAAAAACAACATTACTAACATGTGCCTTGGATAGCATTACTGTAGGACTACAATTGCTAAGAGTCTGCATCATTGTACAGTTAATAACTTCAGTTCAACACAGGAGACTTTACGTTAAAACTCTAATGAATTCAGAAATGACTCTGTTTACACAATTAGCACTTTTTGACTCTATAGTACACAGGTTATGGAAGAGAAATGATTTATAACTATCCGGTGTTACCCAGATGAGTCTGGTTCCTCTCAAGGTTTCTTCCTCATATTGTCTCAGGGAGTTTTTCCCTCACCACCGCCGCTCATTAGGGTTACATTCACACATTTAAACTCTATATCCCGAATTGATATATTTCTGTAAAGCTTCTGGGCGCACGGTGGTTTAGTGGTTAGCACGTCGCCTCACACATCCGGGGTTTGATTCTCGCCGGGGAATCGTGTGTGTGGTTTCCTCCGGGTACTCCGGTTTCCTCCCCCAGTCCATGCATGGTAGGTTGATTGGCGTGTCTAAAGTGTCCATAGTGTATGAATGGGTGTGTGAGTGTGTATGTGTGTGCGCCCTGCGATGGACTGGCACCCTGTCCAGGGTGTACCCCGACTTGTGCCCGATGCTCCCTGGGATAGGCTCCAGTTTCCCCCGCGACCATGCGGTAGAAGATGGATGGATGGGTGGATGTAAAGCTTCTTTGTTACAATGTCCATTATTAATCACTAAACAAATAAAACTGAACTGAATTAACATGGGAAATGAGTTCTCATATTGATTATCAGCATCATCTTCCTCAGCGTCCGTCCATCATCGTTCGTCGAGTTCAAACACGCCACTGATCTCTGTACACGCTAGCATCGATGGGGAGAATAATCACGAATCTCACTTCTGTTCTGTTGGGGAAATGTCGTTTTGGTGAAATACTGTATACTGTACATGTATCTTAATAGGAAGTATACGGTATATCCATCTGCATCCATCTTCAACCGCTTATTCCTGCTTCAGGGTCGCGGGGAACCTGGAGCTTATCCCAGGAAGCATCGGCGGGGTACACCCTGGACAGGGTGCCAGTCCATCGCAGGGCACAATCACATACACACTCACACACCCATTCATACACTACAGACAATTTACCAAGCTGCCTATCAACCTACCATGCATGACTTTGGACTGGGGGAGGAAACCGGAGTACCGGAGGAAACCCCCGCAGCACGGGGAGAACATGCAAACTCCGCACACACATGGCCCCGGCGGAAATCAAACCCCGGACCCTGGAGGTGTGAGGCGAACGTGCTAACCCACCGTGCGCCCAATGGCAGCTCTGCTAGCTTGCCATCAGGAGCAACTTGGGGTTCAGTGTCTTGCCCAAGTACACTTCGGCATGTGGAGTTACCCGGGCCGGGAATCAAACCGCCAAACCTACGATTAGTGGACAACCCGCTCTACCACCTGTGCCACAGCCGCTATATAACTGTATACGGTATAATTACCAGGAAAACGCCATTTCGGTTTGATTTTCTGATCATTATTCAATAACCTTTTTTTTTTTTTTTACTGTATACTCACCATGTCGGGTTCGAAAGACTTTTGATCTTATATTATTTACATCACTTTGATACATTTTATTACTCATATATTCTCACAAACATAATCCAGGATTCAGCTCTGGTGTGATTGATCTTGGTGTAGTCTGTTTCTTGATTTTTTTACAGTGGATATAACTCATACTTCATGCTTAATATATTACTCCTAAGAGTTTTACAACTCATTTCTGCGTCCAGCTTTTAACTGGGAGAATCGTTTTTAATGTAATTCCCATCTCTGGATGATTTACTCAGTATCGTGAATCTGTGCAGTTTCATAACCGACGTCATTCTGTATGAAGCATTAAGGCCAATGAACTCATCCATAGGGCTCGGGATAACGAGTAAGATGATTATCTTGATCATTTTGTTCGACGTTCATAATGATTATTCAACCGGAATGTTGAACGGGGCGCTCGTGATTTAACGCACCACAGCTGATAAAAACTAGCATTAGCCAGTCTCACTAATATCACACATCAGAGATACGCATATAGTATTATACATCCTGGAATATCCATGTAATTATAGTCATTTTTTAAAAGCTTCAGTGTGTCTATTCAGTTTAGTCCCTTTTATGTGCATTTACATATACGTATGTGCGAATGTACAGTGGTGTGAAAAAGTGTTTGCCCCCTTCCTCATTTCCTGTTCCTTTGCATGTTTGTCACACTTAAGTGTTTCGGAACATCAAACCAATTTAAACAATAGTCAAGGACAACACAAGTAAACACAAAATGTAATTTGTAAATGAAGGTGTTTATATAAAATTTTTTTTTTTTTGTTTTAAATTAAAAAAAAGAAAAAAAAAAAAAAAAAAATTTAAAAAAAAAAAAAAATTTAGTAAAAATAAATAAGTAAATAAACCAATAAAGAAATATCAAACTAGCTTTTGTTATTAAGCTCCTCTGGCAGTTTGGACAATGCTACACTGGAGGCTATAGACGTCCATTTCTTGTTCATCGCATTAGCCTTGTAGCTCCAGTGCAAAACTAAAGAAACAAAAGTCACACACCAAACATGTCGACTACATTTGGTGTAAATATCTTTTACACTGTAATGTGATGTGTGAAATGTGAGGCTCGGTACCGTTTTGACTGATTTTGATACTTTCCCATCACCACCATGTCAGATTTAACTCAAAGATTTAATTAATGAGTGGCGAAAGGTGCATACGGTGTCGAGTTTCTGAGAGAAGCGCTATTATTGAGCTTTTATTGTGGCACTTGTCTAAATGTCCAACACATTCTAACCTCCAGAGGGAAACATAATGAATCTGAATTATTAGAATAAATCAGAAGCCTTAAATATTGATGCACGTTCATGACGTATAGATGGTTCCATACACAGTAGAAAGGATGATAAACTCCACAGTCGTGTGCCAGGACTTGAGAATTTACCCCTTTGAGAAATGTTGACGTGTTCGCAGAGCAACACTGCCATCTAGGAGACGTGTTCAGGAGGCACCATCTGAGTTCAACTACGGAAGTGGTGTTAATGAGTCATCTTCAATCTCTTCACTCATATGAGGATCTTCATCAGCTCTACGTGCTGTCTCGATTGGGACAGCAAGGAGTTTCCCAGCTGCTGGATTTCTCGAGTCCACAGGTGATGGGACGATATAATGTTCATCTTGTGATAAATGATGTCGCAGTACATTTTACTGAGGCATTGTGGGTATCACGGTACCTTTTTATACTAGCTGATTTTACGTTCGAGTTTTAGAATTGTAAAATTGAACTTGTTTACCTTTCCATTTCTGTGCTGATTTATTAATGTACATTTTGGACTTAATGTACATGTTGCCTTGCTCAAGGGCCCAACAGTGGCAGGATTGGGGCTTGAACCCCTGACCTTCTGATCAGAAAACCAAAGCATTAACCATCAAGCCACCCCTGCCCCAAAACATGGTGCATCTTAGCCCAAATCTGTGAAAATTGCGGTGATTGTAAAACATTGCGGGAATAATTTCATATGCATTAATTAAATTTATGAGGAAAAACTCACCGTCACGTGATCAAGACTGCATGTTACGTGACCTTAGCTGGTCTGTGGTGGATTTCGTTTATGGGGTTAAAGGTCATGATAACTGTATTGCAGATCTCATAGTTTGTCTCATAGTCTGAAAAGGTTTTTATCATCATTATAATTATTATCATGGGTTTCATTTCTTTATTGGTTTTATTTGTCTACTCAGCATTCTTCTTTGACTCCACCCACACATGATCATGTGTTACCTCATTGGTTTAAAGTATGGTCATTTTGCCTTTGAAGACGTTTAGGACAATTTGCTCTGACAAATCCACTTGCTCAGACGCTTTAAATTAACAAATGTATATACATGAGTGACGTCATTGGGTTTTTTGTGTCGGGACTTAGAGAAGCTGCCACTTGGGGACGCTGCAGCTCCTCACTTCCTGTGCTATGTACTGACAGCCCTGACATCCATGTCCTACCTAACCTTCATAAATGAGTCGTGGATCATGGATTCCACCTCGTCTGTCAGCACACTGAACTCAGGCTCGCAGACTGTATGTGAATAACTTGCTCTCTCTCTTACACTCTCATACAGAGTTTGATGCATTAGCTCTTGGCCTGCGATACCACACAGTGCATCCAACTGCTTCAGAGGCTCATGTGGGATGTCAGGACACTGTAGAGCTTTAAGAACAGCTGGAGCAAACTTCCCAAAATGTGCAGTGGAGCACAGAACAATGGGACACGCCTTATCATGTAGCCGGTCAGCCACGGATTTGGCCACAGCCGTGTGAGTGTCCATTACGTAGCCTGTTTTGGAGTGTACTTCCTGAATCGTGGTCAGGCAGTCGTCCTCTGAGCACCACCCTGCTTGCACATCCTGACGTATCGTCCGTAATAAATCCTCCGACACTGTAAAGCGCTGCTCTTTCTCAAGGCTTACAAACAAGTCACGGACGAGCTTACCGTCCCCGCCGGACGCATAATGCAAAAACCGTTCGAGATTTGAAGCCTTTAGAATGTCAATAGCAGGAGAATTTGATAGCATGAGCTTCCTGCCTCGGAGATCATACTGACCAGTACAGATAAAATCAGAGACTACGCAGTTATGATTAGTGGCACATATGATGTTCCTTATTGGGACGCCCAGTTGTTTAGCGTAGACTGCAGACATGGCGTTTCCAAAGTTTCCAGTTGGGACACACACGTCAATGGGTTGCCCGAATTTCACCACACCGTCTCTCAGCAGGTCCAGGTATGCAGAGGAGTGGTAGACCACCTGTGGAAGCAGCCGCGCCCAGTTGATGGAGTTAGCTGTGCTAAGAACAGTGGCATACTCCACTGCAAAGTGGCCAGCCAGCCTCGAGTCACCGAACATCCTCTTGATGGTCCTCTGGCAGAAGTCAAAGTCAGAGAAGATGCTGACAGACCTGGTGTTATCCCCCTTGAATCCAGTCATCTGCAGTTTCTGTATGACACTAACGCCTTGCTCGGGGAAAAACACCAACACACCAATACGCTGCCTGTCGCTTTCTCTGAGATTGCTGAACCCACTAAGAACTGCACTTCCTGTGTCCCCAGATGTGGCCACAAGGATCAAGTAGTTGCACATCTGCGGAAGGCAGTGAGCAAAGAGCTGTGGCATTAACTGAAGTGCCAGGTCTTTAAAGGAAGCAGTGGGACCGTGGAAGAGCTCCAGAATGTACTGATCTTCAGCAAGATGCTTAACAGGTGCCACTGATTTGCTGGCAAAGTTCTGCCCGTAGGCTCGGTTAACCAACAAGCGAAGTTCTGATGGAGCGATATCCAGTGGATGTATGCACTTCTCAAGTATGACCAAAGCACGTTCAGGGTAAGATATATCCGCTAATCTTATCCATTCAGAAGGTTCCAGTTTTGGGAATCCTTTATTAGGTACATAAACCCCACCATCAGGAGCTAATCCCTCCACGGCAACATCACTGAAGAACTTCACGTTACCGTTTGATGCAAGTCTCTGGCTTCTGGTGGAGATGTAGGTCTCTGATTCAGAGTCCTGATATTTATCTAGAACCCTGACAACTTTCTCCGCTACTTCTTCTACAGTGTCCCCCCTTCCACAAAACACCCTGGCATCCAACCACTTTTCATAAAACTGCTTTCGGTACTTTAAGATCTCCCTCAAGGAGATACCAGCATCCTGACCTACGATTCTGTTCACCTTCATTCTGCACAGCCTCTCCACAATGTCTTCAGTGTCCACATCCAAATAGAGAGCAATTCCCGAGCGCTTCAGGTGCCGCATGGCGTCCGAGTGGAGGGGGTTCGAGCCCGAAAGCGAGATCACACATCCAGAGGCGGAGAAGCTGCATACAGCCCGACCCTCTTCATCGATAAAACGTTCACCTCCGACTTGCGCCAGCTTCTCTGCTACCGTCACCCCCCATGTCTTTTCCAGAACATCATCGTCTATATCGATTACAGGCATCCTGAGTCTGTTGGACAAAATCCGTCCCACTGACGTCTTCCCAGCCCCAGGAGGACCCATGAGGAGAATGTTCCTCTCCTGAAAACTCTTTGTAGACAGACATGATGTTAACATGTACAAAGAGGTGCAATCAGACGTATTGGAGATTCGATGGTATCTCAGTTTGTCCGTTTTGGACAATAAACGAAACAAGCGTCTAGTCATCATCTTTTTAGGAAAAGGATCTAAGGAGGAAAAAAAAAAGAAATAAAGTTATAAACAGTGGAATTAATTATTAGTTAGGAATATAAAGTAGATCAGGCTTCAGTTGTGGCTTTAAAATATATTTAATGAAATACAAACAAAATATGTAGGAGCCATACGTAAGCACACGTTAGCTGTAAAACAGTGACACCTGCTGGATGCTTGGTTTATTTCAGTTAAGAAATATGGTGGCATTTCATGGATGGGAGCATTTTCGTGTTCTCATTTCTGAGCCAATCAGATGCTCTTATTTAGAAAGGTGTTGTTAATTTTGTGGTTCTCATAAGGGAAAATAGTGAATAGAAATGTTAATAACGAGCAGAAAATCTGTCTGGTTCTGTGATTATACGGTCACACGAGGTATAGAGCCGTAATGTACTGGCTGAAAGGATTAAAAACTGGGGAGAACATTGGGAAAATTGCATCTTTGAATGTGACGTGAGGCACTCGGGGAGATTAATCACTAATCATATTTTCATTAAATTGCCTTGTTTTTTCCATAAAGTAATAAGAGCTCTGTACCTGGCACTGTGCCTTTCTTTCTTTCAGTGTTGTGCGTTTCTGCAAAAAAAAAAAAACATCTAGCACTAAACACTCTCAGAAAAAGGGTACTGGATTGTTCCTTCCCTTGCCACTGAAGTGGTACTCATTATCTTTCCTACCTTTAATATGTATCGTTACCGGGAAACGTGTACACAGTGTCCCTAAGGTGCATAATTGGATCGTAATTACCTTTTAGAGTAAAGCTTTAAAGATACACTGCAGGCACCTTTCTAGGTAAAAGATATATATTAAAGGGACTATCCTTGAGGGCACATCCTTGAGGGTTACTCCACGTAATCTCAACTGCATCCGAATGCATCGAGCGTCTTGTTTATTCATCTAAACTCAGCTCAGGTGTGTGTGTGCGCCATGCTTCGACCCAATCATGAACTCAGATTATTATTATTATTATTATTATTATTATTATAGCACATTCACAATCTGTGGACATTTTATTCCCTTTGAATTCCTGACACGAGTTCAGTTCTAGAGGCGTCCTACAGCTTTGCACTGTGTGACAAACTATTACACACACATACTGATCGAAACAATCACTAAATGTACTGTTACTATTCCATATTGATTCTTCTCCTCTATAATGTATAATATGAAAAAATAAAGGCTTACATATCCGTAACGAGTTTATCATTTAGAATTTGCAGTGTAACGACGATACAACGGAACGGATAATGAAAGACTAGCTTAGCTGAAATATTTACGTGTCCTTACAAGATCATTAGGTTATTTTTTTTTCTTTCCTTTTTTACAAATATTTAAGTTTGTATTTACAATCAGACTACTATCGCTCTAAAATATATCAATAAAAAATCACTGTCTAGAATTCAACCACATTAAAATGAGATATTGTGCAGGACTGGTTATTGCGTTTTTAATGTCCTTAAAATCGTCACGGCGACGAAATGTCCATAGAGATTGAGCATTTAGTGCATCAAACAAGGCAAAATGAATACAGTACAGTGTATGTACCATCACATACACACTCTTACTCATCATCATCATCATCATAATAATAACAATAATAATAATAATAATAATAAGCACCGTCTCTCAGCTTCACTCTACAGAATGTAAGTAAAGCAGAGGGTTAAATTACTATGGAGGAGTCCTTTATTTATCTTCAGCGAGGGTGCCAATACTTTAGGACAGCACATAAACATAATCAGAGCATTTAAAATCAACAAAATGTTATTAATCCTCTTATAATAACTAAATAATACTTTTATCAGTGATACACACACACACACACTCACACACACACACACACACACTCACGCACACCCACACCCACTCACTCACACATACATACACACACACACACACACACACACACACTCACTCATACATACACACACACATACACTCGCACACACTCACTCACACTCACACACACACACACACACACACACACACTCACACACACACACACACACACACACACACACATACATACACACACACACACACTCACTCATACATACACACACACATACACTCGCACACACTCACTCACACTCACACAAATACATACACACACACACACACACCACACACTGCGCACACACCCACTCACTCACACACTCACTCACACATACACACACACACACACAAACACACACTCACTCACACACACACATACACAAATACACTCG